GAACGTAGCTACCGAACTTCCTATACCGTTTGATTTGTTAAACCAGACATTCCTTCCTGTAGACATTCATTTCGGACTGAGAAAGGAATGTAACTCTTGGTTTCCTAATTTCCCCATCGTCGACTTATTACTCACGGGCCAAATACCGTAACACCATCCTTTTAAGGTCTACGAAAGGCAAACATGTACATATAGAATTTGTATAAAACTGGAATAACCAAATGGCTTTAATGTTATCTATTTAGATCGAAATAAATGTCTTAAAAACGAATTTTGTTTCTGAATTTGAAAACTGTTATTTACTAAACGAAGTCTTCACAAACTGAGTGGAATCATGAAACTGAATCATTAAATCCGTTAAGGGAATGCTGTAGCAAGTAGAAATATAAATCTGGATTAAAGTTCTATTAGGTTGAATTATAGGTAACCACATAAAAGGGTACTCATAGTTAAATATAATTTAACATATTTTCTTGTAACCAAAGGAAAAGCCACTGTTAACAACTAAACAAAAGCAAGCCAGACTCATTTGGGCACAATCTAAACAAACTAAAGCATTGCAAAATTAAATGCTGGCGGGAATATTTTCAGCAGGAAGACACGGCTTGTCATAAGGCCATAACCAGAAACAACTGGTTTGGGAATCACAATATATGGGTTTCTTAGTCTTCGAACTGTCCTTACCTAAACTGTCAACTATCTGAATTTTGCATGTATTTTAGTTTGTCTCATTATATAGTTGTTAGGGAGTTCGTATGTCAGTAGTATCAAATATTATGAATAACATACAAAAGCGAAGTATATCGGATCAATCATTTGTCCCAACAAAGCACTGATTACTTAAATCAGATTAAAATTAAAATTTAGATGAACCGATAATTGAGTATAACAAATTTTGTATAAATATTGAATTCACTATTTAGTATAAGTGAGATGTTTACTTAGCAACTCTTCACAAATTGGCTGCTTAACACAGGTACCAACTGGAAGAGTCTAGTTCGTAAGACTATGGTGTTGTTTACATAATCTTTTTGCGTTCGATTTATTTTGTTCAGTGAAAATGCGACAGTTGCGAGTAACGATTTTGCATTTTCTTTAAACTAGAAAAAAGGTGTGCAAAAAATATCTGAATGATGCAAAAGTAATTTAAAGATGAGCGCATGAGCATAACAGAGATAAAAGAATGGTTTAATTGATATAAAAATGGTCACATATCTGTTAAAAATAACCTGCTATCTAAACTGTTGCATTTCAGCGCAATATCAGCAAATATTGATTAAAGAAGATCGTATTGGCTTTACACAAACTAGAAAACGATATAGAAATTTCGACAGCTTGTTTTTCGAGAATTCTAACCAGGAATTTGCGACCAACTCACACCTATTCCAAAATTGCTTATGGCTTTCTTCATCTAATGTTGTCTATCTTCTAGTGATGTTAGCGACCACATTGACCTATCTTATTCTATTCATAGCAACAGTGTTAACATTAGACGTTATTTATTATTATACATTACACATTAATAGAGGGAGAAAAATAGACCACCCTTTATATTTCCACGTCTTGTGTACTAAGAGCTTTATATCAATAATCTCTTTATACAATTTCCAAATCTTTCCAAAGATCATTTTCGGAGTGTTATTCTGCAGGTATGAGTTAATCATATGATTATTTTGATGTCTTTAAATCCAATTTGTTTATTTGACTACCTTACAAAATTCTTTTGTGCATATTTCTTCGAAGTAAAGCAAGAGAATCGTTGCATTTACGACCAGTCAATTTCTATAATAAAAATTAGTGAAACGCGTGAAAAAATATTAACAGGAGATAAACCATCTGGCATGAATTAAAATGCCAATTATTTAGACATAAAAATATCTAAAAACATTTCAAACCACTAAATCCTAGAAAAAGATTAGTAGATATCTGCTTAATTAATTAGTATTTAATACTAAGAAATTGTATAGGTAGTAGTTAAAAGTTTTTCCATATCGTCTAAAATAGAAAGGAAGAATAGAAAAAACTGCAAACTACAAAGTTTTGTTAGGATAAAAATAATAAACAAACTGAATGCGATTCTTTAACAAGACTACCCAAACTGCACAACAATATTCGTTATGCCTATCGATCCCCTGAGGGCGTTGGGTACGCTTTTGTTACTTCAGCATCAGCATTAAAATTCTCCACTATTTTCACAGCTAAATTCTAAGCGACTTATCATTAGCACTAAACCATGCGAAATCATTCTTCAAATATATCAACATATCTAACTGATTCCCATAGTTCTCTTCTCGCAATAAAGCACCTCTCTCGCAATAACCAACCTACGTTTTGCAGACGACACAGCCCTTCTTGCTAATAGTCAAGAAGAGTTAATTGATCTCATACGACTGGTTGAAAACGAAAGTCAAATATTTGGTCAGCAGTTGAACATATCAAAGACAAAGATCATGACAGTGGATAGACTACATAACAATCATCAACACATAACCACGATTGACCAGTTTGAAATTGTGAGCTCATATTTATATTTAAGATCATTGAACACAAACACAGGCTCACTACAGGAAGAAATAAAACGTAGATGTGATCTAGCAAAAGTCGCTGGAGGAAAGATAGAAGGACTCTCAAATTTCACGAAATTTAAAAATAAGGTTGATCAACTACTTCCCAATACTGACATACGGATATGAATCTTGGACCCTACGATAAGCGGAAAGCAGAGAGGAATAGAGGGAATAGAGGAACAAATATTTCAATTTTAAATGAGTTAAAAGTCAGCAAAAGGCATAATAGCAAAGTCCGTCTCCAACAATTAAAGTACTTTGGACATGTTATGAAAGGAGACACAGAAAACATGGAAAGACTTATCCAAGGAAAGGTAAAACCCGACAAAGATTCCCAACAAGATGGATAGATCAAATTATAGGAATATGCAAAAGACAAATGCATGAGTTCAGAAATGGGCTGAGACACATATCTTTGCAGACGGACAATTCACAACATCACGATGACCACTACACTCCCTTTGGGGGGTCAGGATTGAAGAGGGAAATCCTAGTCACCCATTAAAGAAGTTAATAACATTCGAGCTACAGATTGCCTAAAACAACAAGATCACTTCTGAATTTGTATGGACCCCATCCCACATCGGCATTTTCGATAGTGGATACCAGCGAAGTATTACAAAAGATCTTAAAACGTTTTTTATAGAAAAAAAACGTGACAGGCGAATGGTTTCTTTTTCAATTAAAATTAAGAACAGTAAAACCGCATATATACCACCAACCCTACCAACCCCACTATTAGAAGATTTTCTAGTTGAAGACCAATAAACTTCATTAAAATCTGGATTAAGCAACAATTGTCGATTGTAATGAAAATCACATTTTTAACTAACTAGTGTTTGAAGTTTCGACTTCCACTCCGGAAATCGTTCTCAAAAAGATTATTATAAAAATTCTTAAAAAATTGATCACCGAAGTTATTTGTTATTAGCGTTATATCATTTCAAAATTTACATAGTTGGCCTCGATCTTGTAGGCAGCAACATGTAAATGGCTAAAAAATCTGACGGTAGTGCTTTTACCGTAGGAATATCAAATTCTGATTGTTTGTGTGTTTTTGTGTTATTTGTTTGTGTAAACTGTATCGTAATTGGTATTGTGAAACGGAGATTTATGTATTGTGTATTGCACATGTATTGGAACACACTCTTCTTTGAGTATGGAAACCAAAGCCTGCTACATTCTGCTGAGGGGTTTGATCATCGAGCAATAAGACAAAAGAGGGAATCTAATCGTTATGAAAAGGAGACCAAAAAAGTGGCCTCTGATGGCGGACATATCCGGAAATGCAAATGCGCCAAATTTAAATTTCATGACACTTGACAATAATCGTACAGTGGTGTAGGGGTTCTATTTATCTATTTATTTATTTTATATTATATAATATTTTATATTATATATTTATCTATTTATTTATTAAAATTATTTATTAAAATACATTTTTAACACTAGAACACAATAAAGTTTTAATTAATTAATAACGATAATAGTCTAAAATGTTAAACAATTGTTAAAAAACTTCAATAGAAAATATAAATAAGCTTTCATGTGACAGTTTTGACAGACAATAACATCAACAATAACATAACCCAACTAAATTTGATTTCTTAAACAAGGAAAGAGATTCTCTTTCCTTGTTTAAAGTGGCCTCTCAAAATAGCACTTCCTGTCTATCAATATGTTTACCCCCACTACCTTTACATTCCCTCTTTTGTCTTATTGCTCGATGGGTTTGATACACATTTTTCTTCGTTAAGTAGGATGATGGCTGCTTCTTTGATTTTTCTCTTTTTCATGTCTGTTGTTTTCATGATTATTGATGCATCTTTACATTGTGGTCTGTACTCATTGTCCCAGGTATGTTTGCATACCTGAATTCTCGAAGTCTCTGTTCTTGATCGATGTTTCATGCTCGTTTATGCTGACACTTAGTAGTCTTGTGATTTCTCCCAAGTAGAAATTGTTGCATTCGCAGGGTATTTTATAGATGCAGTTTTTTATTTTTGTGTGTCGTTGGGTTTGGTTTTGAAAAGGATAGATCTGTTGGTTGTTTTGAATGTTGTTTGAGTTTTGGTCTCAAATATCAATCTGACTGAATATCAGCCAGTCAATAAAAGAATAGCAATAAAAAGAGAAGGAACAGAAGAAAAGAGAAATCGAGTAAAATATTAGAAAAAACAGCAAAAGTAGACACGAAAAAAACAATTAACTACAGATGTAAATGCACCCGATCGACAAATGAAATTTTTAGATATGATCTAGAGCGAGATTATTATCTGTTTAGGAATATAAAAGAGAAATATTCTTTAAAATTTCACGGACAAGTAAATTAAAAATTGTAAAATGTAAATATGTGGTTGTTTAAATTCAGCTATAAGTCAATACATTATAAATGTGTAAAACAAAAATTAAATTATTGAATTGTTTTCTTACCTGCACACAGGGCTTGCATAGATTGACGCACAATCCATCAGCATCGTTACTGTAATGTACAACTAATTCTTGTAAAGTTCGGAATGTAGATCTTCGAGCAATGAAGAAACCACCTTCGTCTAATTGTCTTATCCTATAATGTTTTACTGTGTCTCCGTCGCGAACTAAAAAAAATACATTTTTTTATTAAAAATTCATTCATTTTTTTTATTAGGATCACTTTTTTTCGCATGGACAACTCTGAACCTTAATATGGGGGTGTCTCACGAAAGTGATTATGCAGAAATATTTTATGGGGATGTTTTTTTCGAATGAACTCGAGCTTTTCGCCTTTCGTCTGCTTAGCTCCAGTATTATTTTCCTTGCGAACCAATACGATACCACGAATAAGCGAAACCTATTATTAGTATTTAATTACCAACAATCAATACTACGAGGAGTATATTATTTAAAATCATAATATCAAGTGATTTAAACGCCAATTTACAGTAACTCAACCAGCTCTATCATCTTTATGAAGTTTCACAGCCTTGATACCGCAGTCTTGTAAGGCATTTACAATAAGATGCATAAGATGAGTAGCACTGTTTTTTCTTCTTCTTCTAGGTAGAACATGGCTATTCCTTACAGGCTAACATGTATATCGAGCCAGACTAGTGTCAATCTAGTACAACCTCCAGCCTGGGTCCTTGATATACACACATCAAAATAATCGTGGGGACACCTATATTAATAGCTTTAAATCAATGTTAGCTGCAAATACAAAACTAAATTGATGTTTTTTATTGTTTTGTCGATTATTGTACTAATGTGGACGTTAAGACTGATAAGCATGGCTATAAAAAATTTAACAAAACTTCAATATGCGTTTTTTGTTTATTAGAGATGTTTCAAGCTGGTAGATTCAATAGGAACAGAAGTATCACTAATCGTTTATGGTTAATTTGCCAAGAAGCTGGTGATGTTGCTGAATGTCTTACAGGCCATACAAGAATAACTATCCAGTTGCAGGCTTTGCGAGATTGCACTGAACCTACATCACAACTACAACTGAGGCTGCAAGAGATCCATTAAGAATTGTAAGTTGCCGAACCATTAGAAATATACTGCATGAAGTAGGGTTAAATGCTCGAAGGCCTGTGAGGGTGCCTGTGTTATCCAGAGGAAATCGCGCTCATTGACTTCAGTGGGCACAAGAACACGCAAATTGGGTTAAACGTGAGTGGGCCTCTACTTTGTTCACATATGAGTCACGTTTTGGATTTACACCAGATATAAGATTGACAAGAATTTGAAGATGACCTGACAATGCTGAACGATTGGCCAACGTGCAGTAGGTTCATAGATAGCAAGGCGGCAGTATAATTTTATGTAGTGGCATCACTCTTGGTGGAAGAACCAATCTCGTTTGACTAGAATGGTTTCCAAATGCAAAAGACTACCCCCATATTATTCTTGAATCTATTGTTGCACCCTATGCATAACAAGCTAGTCCCAATTTCAATTATTGCACGACAATGCGCGTCCGTATACTGTCAGAGTCATGCGAACATTTCTCTAAGATAATAAAATTGAGGTTTTACCACGGGCTGTCCAAACACCAGATTTAAAACCAATTCAGCATGTATGGCGCGTATGATGAGTAGACGCATTTAACAACAAAATACAACAACAACAACGCAATACAACGATACAACACAGCAACTGTTTGAGGGTCTTTTAATGGAGTGGAACAAAATACCACAGCAAGACATTGACCATCTGATCATCAGTTTGCCTTACAGATGTAGGATAGTAATCAACAACCGTGGAGGTCATACACTACACTAACTTAACCTAAAGACTACTTGAGCGTTAAGGTGCAACAAATTGGTTTTTTATTTTTTTTGTTACCATTTTTTGACTTTGGAGTTTTCTTTTAATTTTCTTAAGAGCTATTGCTATAAATTCTAAAAAAAATGTTTTCATTTTTATAATCGGGACACTTGTTTATAACTTTTTATTAAAAATATTTGAAATAAATTATTTGAAATCCTTCTATAATCTCGAATTTCGTTTTTGTCCCCTAGATTATTTTAATGTGTGTATAACAAAAGAACTCAGACGACAATAATTGTACTACAGTAAAATATTGTCTCAAACGAATTACACTTCATCTAATTTATATACCGATGCACGTCATCGGCGTCATAGCCTGTGACGTCATGTGATACCAACACGAAATATTTAGTGTTTAGGTATGTTCTTTTTAGAATCACTTTACCGAGTACACTGGCATTACAGCCACTAGACATATTTTATTATATACGCGTAGAAATAATATTTAAAAATTTCTATTAATGTTAACTTAAAGAAATACACAATAATATGTTTCATTTAATTTGTATAAATCCATTATAAAGAGTTTTTATCAAGAACATTTGTTCGGAACACACTGTAACTGTAATATAACGACGGTAAAATTTTGGCATAAATTGGTAACACTTATTTGACAGTTGCGGTGTTGACACTTTTTGTACTTTATTATTTTGAATTTTAAAGTGAATACCTCTTGTTTTATATTTTTACCTATTTAATAAAATCTGTTCTTTTTAGAACAAAATTAGTGTGTTTTATTTCAAAAATGTCACGTAAGAATTTAAATAGTCGTTGTAAAGAGATGGTAATACTTTTGCAATAAATATGTGACTTATTTGATTTAAAATGGAATCAGGATTTTTTTATACTTTGGCAACTATGTCAACTTCGATCTCTGACGTAGATAATGACGTAAGTCGTTATCTAAATTAGATGAAGTATATATAAATCTAATTCACAACAATCTTCTTGGCAGCATATCAATAAAACTATTGTTTTTTAATAAAACCACGGGTATTCACATGGATAGATTATTTTCAACTGTGCGAAGTAATCATTATATTTTTATTTTTTGTCTTAGTCATTTATAGACTGTCATATATGGATATGACTGTTATACATAATAAACATGTTGCAAAGTTTTATGTCTACACATAAACCTCACACGACTAACAAAGAAAAACCGCTAAATATTTATATCCAAACCATAAAGTATTCCTTTTTTTCAAATATGGATAAAAAACATTAAATATTATCTTTTAAACGAGCTCTGCTTAAAATAATGATTGCAATATCAATGTACTGTTATAATTCTCTTTATATTTTACAAAAAGTACTTCTTAAATCTCTCTCTTTAATTCTAACCCCCGGAGAGAGTGTAGTGGTCATCGTGATGTCGTGTATTGTCCGCCTCCAAAGATCTTTTTGAATGCAGTAAGACAAATGAGTGTATGATAGTTTCTATATTTCGGTTTCATAGCATCCCACCGCCTTCCAGTAGGAATCAATGAAATGAGTAACATCGAGATGTAAGCTCTGATCTACTACCGTGCTACTTATCCATTGGCAACCAACGGCCTAATTCAAAGTCACAGATCCATTTTTGATTTAAAGCTGCTACATTCAAATTTTATTTTTCTGGTCCACACCGTGGTTTGAACCATAAACCAACAATACTACTTACATCGAAGTGAGGGTCAACTACGGTATGGCTTATTATATATAATTGATTGAATATAATATAAGTAATTATTGGGCCCAAAACTTTCGTAAATGTCTCCCTCAACAGAACTAAAATATAATAAATAGTTCTAAATTCCCACCTATTGACAAGCCAGAATAGAAAATATTATGTTCAATCCAAAAGAATTTAATGACAATTAAAACAGAAACATCTATATATCATAACATATACATACAGAGACCTATTTGGTCGTAATTTACATCTATTTCGAGAATGTCCATATACATACGTCTAACTGAGAAAGCGTAAAAAAGATAAACTTGCAAGCAATCTTTGAGTAATCATGGGATAAGCTTTACAGCACAGAATGATAAAAGTGTCATATCATCAAAGTTATGTCGCCTTGTAAACAAATGTATGAAAGATGAAGGTACCTGCCACGACAGTTTTACTGAGATTTTGTCTGCCGACCATTGTTTATCTATCTTCCATCGAACTGACGGGTCCAACATTCATTTCACTACTAGTACTATCATTAGTACTAAACACTGTTCTTCTTGTTTTTCCTTAGCCTTGTATCGTCAATTTTTGAACTTAGGGATTTCTATCTAATTCCATCGATCTATATTATGATCAACATACTTCCAATTTGCTTCGGCTATTTTTTTAATGTTATCTACTCATCTCATATGTGATCTTCCTCTTATACGTTTACCTTTGTAGGTTCTCCAATGTTGTATTGTGGCGTTCAAACGTTGGTTCCTCTGTCTAGCAGTGCGACCTGCCAAAGAATATTCTTGGGATATATTTTTGGTCCTACTTACTTTTTGGTCCTATTTACTTTTTCATCCGTCCCAGTCATTCCTCTTCTTATCTGATAGTCGTAGATCTCTTTATGTTGTGACTGTGGTTGAACACTTTTCTCGAGTACTGAAGTATTTTGCGGTTCTTAATGATCCAACTACACACTATACTACCTCTAGTAAATTGCTCTCTATTTTGAGATGTTCTTAGTATCAAATGTGTGTCCATGCCTGTCCAGTCTCTTACATTCTTCAACCAGGAGCATTTTCTTCTTCCTTCCACTTTCCCTTCCATTATAAGTCGTAGGAAGTTGTATTTTTCTCCTCTGTAAATATGTCATAGATAACTCGTTTTTCCGTTTTTTACAATATTTAGGAGTTCTCTCTCAGTACCCATTCTTTTTAGCACCTCGTAGTTGGTCACGTGCTGTGTAATCTTCAGCATCCTTCGAAAAACCCACATCTCAAACGTTTCTATATGCCTCATACTTGTAATTCCGAGAGTCCATGTCTCCACTCCGTATAGAAGTACGGAATAAATAAACGTTTTTACAAATTGGTATCGGATATCCAATGATAACATAGAGTTTATTAGGAATTTTTTCATTCGTTGAAATGCAGACCTAGCATATTCTATACGAGCACGTATTTCGACCTCGTGGTTAAGATCGTTTGTTATCCAGCAACCAATATACTGGAAGCTTTGTACTGGTTCTATATGTTTGTTATATATACAAATATTAATGTCGACATTTGGTGCACTTGTAACAGCCATTACTTTTGTTTTATTTGTGTTTATTTTAGTCCCAAGCTATTTCCCTCTCTGGCTATGACATTCAAAAGTCGTTGTAAACCCTATAAGTCACAATATTACAATCATTAAATTGCTTACAGCCTTATGGTGATTCAAGAAGAGTCTACATATTAAAGATATCCAGGTAGAAATTTTGTTGGGACAATCAGGATGACTTACGATATACACAGATGCAATACGTTATATATTCGATTACCATACTGTAATATAGTTTTATTTATTTTCAAAATATTGTATAACTTATGTGAGTATGATACTAGACTGGAATAAAAATGAGATTTGCGAATTTTAACATCATCTGACTTTAAATTTTTCTATCCATACACACATTAAAGCATTTATCTTTTGAGAGAGAAATCTTTTCTTATAACTAAATGTATAAGAGTCGTACAAATAGTAAGTAAATAATGAAAATTAAAAAATAGTGAAAGGGACTTGTTTCTTTGCTCAAGCACTTCCTCCAACATTTCTTAACTACTTTAGAAAGACACAAACTCTAAACATAAACGGAAAAGAAAGAACCAAGAGAACTGAACAAAATCAGAACAGAATCGTTGAATATTCTTGCATCAGGACAATGCCAGCTCTCACTTGGCTCGTATAACATCAGAGTATTTGAATGCGAAAAGCGTCGATTTAGTAGGCCATCCTGCATACAATTCTGACTTGCCACCGTGTGATTTCTTTGCATTCTCGAGAATCAAAAACAAACTAAGCGGTAAATGTTTTAAGACGCCAGATAAGGCCGTCGAAACATACAAAAACCTCATTTCTGACAAACCTATTTCGGACTAGAATAAATTCTTTGACGATTGGTTTGTTCTAATAAAAAAGCGTATTGAGTTGAAAGGCTGAACACTTTGGAAAACAATAAAGCTGATTTTTCTCAAAAGTATGTTTTTTTTTTCAATTATTTGTGTAAAACTTTTAGTGTACGCCTTGTACTAAAATCTTACCTGATAGTGAATAGTCATTGTGCCGACTCTCAGAGTCTCTGATAAGGAAGGCTCCGTGCTCGTTTTCAGGAAGTAACAATTTTTTCTCTGCCTCTATGCGTTTTATCTTCCGGAAGTACCATCTGAAACAACAAAAAATACGTCAACATCATTTTTACTATACTTGGTGTGTGCTAAACTCAACAATGTACGGGTACACCTTAAGAAACTGACAGGTATTGGGAGTGGCATATTACTAATAGTTGTTATTAATAAAGTATTTACAGCTTTTTGAAGTAATTTGAAATTGTGGCAAGTGATGTGTCACGCATAGTGACCTGACATACCTTCCTCAATGGCACTGCCCAAAAAAAACTCAAACAATCTCGTGGCAAATATGAGAAAGTGGCTTTGGTCTTTGATGATTTCGGTGTAGATTTGGTGTAACTTATAAATCGTTCCTATTTATCCTTAAGAATAGTAATCTCATTGATTCTTTATCACGAACTCTATATAGTCGAAATAAAAAAGAAAATATATCCGACACAATTTTTATTGCCTTGCAGGTTCAATTTCCTAGTACATACGACTCCTTTTTAGAAAATGGAGGAATGTAATAAAACGATTAAATATTAATTTGGTTTAAAATTGCGCTATTTCCATGAAATTGTTAACTGCCAAGGAAAGGTCCCAGTCCGCATTTGCATTTTTAATTAGATATCCAATAACACAATGTTAATAGTAATTACAAATTGAGATCGTGTAAAACATTTGTAATGATAGGTTTTTTAATAACTGGGGATATTTTCCACCACATGTATAGTTTTCAGTATAAAAATTTTTACGCGTTTTATAACATTTTCTGAAACTATTTTCTTGTGGCATGGTTTTCAAAAATATTCAGTTTTATATTCATGTTTAATATACGGCATGAGCCACGAGGAGCTAGAAAAAAGGAATCAGCGTAATCATCGTCGAGTTTACATCTTTAGACAACATCAAAATCAATATATGAAAGTGACTATTGTTCTCAGCGGTACTAAATTTTATTCTGACTTGTTAAATATTCTATTCCATGATGTTCTCGTCTACTTTCAAATTTTTTTTCAAAAATTGCTCTGGAAATCAAAACATATAGTCCTGTTAGTATTTTTTGATTCGAATAATCCACTTCTTATTATTGAGAGTACAGAATTAAATGTTCTTTCTGTATTGAAATTCTTATTTAGAAATTGGGTATTAAATCATTTTCTTTTCTAAGACTTTATTAAGTTTATCAACTTTGAACTCTTTTTCATTTGTGCATTTCTTGATTTTTCAGAAGACTATTATTATAATAAAATAAAAGAATATTAATATTATGTTGAGAAGTTTCGAAAACTGGGTTATTTGGATTAGAAGATATTTTGATAAGGGAACAATGGACAGGATCCAAATTTTTTTCATCTTGAAGCCTTGCCATTTTCAAACTATAATCTAGAACAGTTTTTGGAATATCGATTTCGTAAAGAAGTTTTTTATCGGGATATCGGGATTTGAGATATTGGCTTTAATTATTTCGATTTCTTTAGTTGAGTTGAGATAATTTTCTCTAGGTCGTTATATAATTTAACTTTAGATTTTTCTAATTCGCTAATCATCTGCTCCAGTTTTGCATTTCTCGGAATGCAAATGTTTCATCTGGAATTTCCCGTTAAAGTTGACTGTTGTACATTTGGAGACTTATTGGAGTCACTAGACACTACACCAAGCATTAAGGGGTGTTTTCTTCCAAGATTTGAACAGGTAGTTGTTTTGTTTGATCCTATGTGCTCGCTTGATCTATTATTTTGTTCCATTTTATTAACGTCTGCAGTTTTATATTTAGCATTAACAATTATTTCTACTTATTGTTCCACTTCTGACAGTTGTTTTTTCAGTTTGTTACTAATATCTGATAATACTGATTCTTTATCTTAGACTAATTTAATACGACCCAAAAGAGATTTCTTCAAGGCTTCTTGATTAGAAATGCCTTCTTTAAGAACAGAGTCTTCCGTCCGCAGACTCACAACTTCTTCGGTTTTTAATTATATTTTTGTTTGAGCCTCATCGAGTTTATCACGCAATTTTGAGTGCTCTCTTTCTAGTTTCATTAAAATCAAATTCATGTTACCTTCATCTTTAGATAGTACAGTCGACAGCAGCGAAAGGACATTCAACCTTTCAAATAAAATTCGAATCATTAAAATCCGTTTAATAGGAGAGCCCAAGTATTTTTTTAACAACTGTACAATTTTTAAGCTAATAGACAAATATAATAACTTTTGAATTTTCGATTAACATTTTTTTAAACTTATATCAAAATTTCCGAAGTAGTGATCGATCAAAGCCCAGTAAGGACAAGAAACCATAACAAGTGTATAAATTATGAATCATCTGTTTTAAAATCAAAACCGTCAACTTTTAATCAATATGATAAAAATAAAATTCGAAAGTTACTCTGAAATAGTTCAGACTTGGTGAAAGAAACCCAAATTTTCAATGAGATAAATATTTCGCATAAACAAATTATGTTAAAAAAAAATATTCCCATTTGTCAATGCTACTACCTAGTCAATTGGCAGCAATACAACATTGCTAGCGGGTTTACTACCAAGTTCAGCAGTGGATGGGAAATGATTTAAATCCATCGGATTGGGGTTGGGAGCTTAAAAACATGAATTAAGACCGCTTTAAACAACAGAACAATTACTTCTGGAAAATTTAACTAAAGTCCATTTACTTGCAAAAAAATTGCTCAAAATCTTGGTGTTGCGTTAAAAATGGAATGAAATGTTCCAATTATTACACTTCTTGTCTGGGGTAATCATGTAAGAATGATTCCCAACAATGTTGATATTGACATTTTGATGAAGATGATGAAACTCCAGAAAAATAAATAGATTTTGGATTAGCTGATGAAGACTTGGAAGATGATAATAAAGAATAGATTTCACAGCGTGTCTTTAAAATTATATAATTTCTATCCCCACGATTGCCTCTTGTCGATTTTTCTGTTTTTTTTTACAGTTTTAAATCAACGTTTTAACCAGGGTGAACAAAAGAAAAAAAGTGAAAATTTATAACTTCTAAGTACTTTACAAAACATGCCTTTGCAAAACATCAGCGCCTTTGATTTTGTCGTCTTGGAAAACGCCAAAATAAAAGGCGTGCAATCCTGCAAATATTTGGGGGTCATTTTCAACAAGAAGGGAAATAGCGCAGATGAAATTAGGAAAAGAATAAACAAGGGCAGAGCAGCGACCCGTACCTTAAACTCCCTTCTCTGGCAAAAAACAATTCGCCGAGAAACCAAAAAACACATTTACGGCAGTATAGTCCAAAGTATTACACTTTACAGTTCGGAAGAATGGGACGTCACCAAAACTAGTAGAAACAAACTTACAACGATAGAAATGGGTTATCTGAGACGAAGCTGCGGTAGATCGAAACTGGAGAGAGTTAGAAACGAACAAATAAGAACCGAAATGAAAATGGAGCAAAATATCACTGATGACATAGAAAGAAAACAATTAATCTGGTTCGGACATATTAAAAGAATGTCAGAGTACAGATGACCTAGAAGAGTACTGGAATGGATTGCTCCTGAACGAAGAAAGAGAGAACGACCACGGAGAAGTTGGCGTAACGATATTGATGAAGCAATGGCGGCAAGAGACTTGGAATAGGCAACTGCATATGACAGTACCATTTCTTAATAGTTTTTGCTAATTTTACAACAATAATTATTATTTTTTCAATTGTTAATCAATTCTATCTTATAGAAAATTTAATTGAAAAATTTTTTAGTCTTCACAAAATGTTTCTAAAATGAATAGCTGCCGGAATTTTTCAAATTGGTTTCAAAAATTGTTTAATAAAAAGTTTAGTTCACCTTTTGAAGTGTCAGCATAGTGAAATTATCAATTCTAATATTTCAAAGCGATTAAAGTACAAAAATGTTGGACACATTCTTCTTTAACAACCTGTTACTATAGTGCAGAGCGCGGTTTAACCTTACTATCCGCCTAAGCGCTCTACAGCCGGGTACACACATGCCAGTAAATTGGGAAAGTAGTTGGCATGCCAGTTGCTGGCATAGGCCAGTAACTGGCAAGCACAAAACACATTGGCTAGTAATTGACATGCGAGTAGCTCGCTTGTCTATACTGGCAAGGCGAAAAGGAAGGGTAGATTTTTACACATGCCAGTGATAGGAAACAATCGAGTGGTTTTCATCTGAAACTAAAGTACTTGTTTTGTAATTAAAAGTTTTTGATTTTCTCTTGCATTTTTGTGTAAAGCATTGATACGGGCTATTTTATTTTTATATAGAGATGATTTAGAATTCAAAAGACACTCTAATTCTTTATATATAGCAATATATTTGATGGTTTTTCATCACCCCAACGACACATTTGTTAAATTAACAAGTTTAAAAATAAAAGGATGAATTTTTATCAACAACAACAAATCTGACAATTCTCTGCTATTATAAATCAAATTCTTTGCGATTAGCTAGCATGCCGGGAACTAGCATGCCAGTTAACGTACACACCATAGATCGCAAAGATTTAACCATAGATCGCAGAAATTCAAGCAACACTGTTAAGTTAGACCTGTGCAGTGGGTGGCGACTTTGCGCTGGTTTCTCTATTAAATTCTGCTGTTTGTTCCTGTCCTTGGCTAGCCCCTTTAATTCTTTCCACGTTTTGTTTTCTCATTTTATATACCTATCCCTATGTTTTGTAGTCGGCATATTTATTTCTTGTCGCGTTCCCTCTTTCTATTATAATTTCTTCAATTTTTACTGTATCTATTAATCTCTCACGACCACATTATCATCCATTATTAATAATTTCTTTTATATATTTATATAAATTCGACAATTTATTTCTCGCAATTTAACCAATTTTTATAGTTATTGGTTAACTACTTTTAAACTCTTAAATTTGTAAACGCTTCATATCGAAGATACATGGATGTGTGCAATAGAGGTCGCGGTCGATACATCGATGTCAAAACAAACCTTCATTTTCTTATGAGATCGCACATACCATGGATGTTTCACCCGTTCATACAGCGATGTTAATGCCAGAACAAAACAGTTTGTTTTACATCG